AAAAAAAAAAAAAAGAAAAACACTTAATTTACAAATGGTACCTGGCTTTACCCAAGCAGTCTCTGTCTTTCCTTTCCTGGGTGCCCACCTGGGCCAGGTGAGCAGAGCTGCCTGGAATCCAAGCCCAGGGCTGGCTCCCAGCACCTGGCCCAGCTAAGTCAGAGCCAGGAGAAAAAGGGAATTATTTTCTCCTGGGGAAGAACAGGTGAGTTAAAAATCTTTCCTTTACAGTTAAGGTGGTGCAGTTCTCACCTGGGCAGCGTTTCCTACCTGACCATTTTGCCTTTCTTTATTCCTTCATGCTTGCACAACGTCCCCCAACCCCAAGAAACTTGAATTTAAAGTTTCCTTTTGCAACACTCTCAGAGCAGCTTGAACTGATCAAGGCTTCCATGGAAGCTACAAAGCTCTGGAAGAGTCTGGGCAGTTTTTGAGGCTTTTTTTTTTTTGGGGCACCAGGGAGGTTTGGTGAGAGCCCCAGAGCTAAACCTGGGGTGGCTGCTGGGGCAGAGAGGAGGAAGTGAACCCTGTGCTATTGGAAGATTTTAATCAGGGGCTTTTATTCCCTCTGCTGAGCAGTTTTTACTGGCTTTGAGTTGGCCATGGTTTTATTGGTACCAAAACCAGAACTGGTAGAAAAAGCTGGAAAAGTCCAGGTTGAGTTTGAAATTCCAGATTGAGTTGGAAGATCCATGTTGAGGTGAAAATTCGAGGTTGAGTTTGAAAGGTCCAGGTTGAGTTTGAAAATCCAGACTGAGTTCAAAGTCCAGGTTGAATTTCAAGTCCAGGTTGAGTTGAAAAGTCCAGGTTGAATTTCAAATGTCCAGATTGAACTGAAGGTCCAGGTTGAGTTGGAAGATCCAGGTTGAGTTTGAAAGGTCCAGGTTGAATTTCAAAGGTCCAGGTTAAGTTTGAAAAGTCCACGTTGAATTTGAAAGGTCCAGGTTGAGCTGGAGGATCCAGTTGGAGGATCCAGGTTGAGTTTGAAAAGTCCAGGTTGAATTTGAAAGGTCCAGGTTGAGTTTGAAAAGTCCAGGTTGAATTTGAAAGGTCCAGGTTGAGTTTGAAAAGTCCAGGTTGAGTTTCCAAGATCCAGGCTGAGTTTCCAAGGTCCAGGCTGAGTTTGAAAGGTCCAGGCTGAGTTTGAAAGGTCCAGGCTGAATTTCCAAGCCCAGGTGGTGCCAGCGAGGGGGTGGCTGGGGGGCACCTGGGGCTGGTCCCAGCTGTGCCCCTGGCCCTGGCAGCAGCTCTGGGTGCTGGGGGTGCAGAGGGGCTGGGGGTGCAGAGGGGCTGGGGGTGCTCAGTCCTCATCAGAAAACTCCAGGTCCTGCACCAGATCCTCCCCACCCTGTGCCAGCTGCTCCAGGTCGGAGCGGGCCAGGCCCCGGGGGCAGCTCCTCCTCTCCTGGGAATCCTGAGCTCCTTCCTCTGCTGGGGGAAAGGAGAGGTGGCAATAATCCTGCTTGCTGCGTTATTACTAATTAATTAATTAGTTACTCGTTAATGCCAGACATTAATTATGGAGAGCCCTGCAGGGCTGGGGCAGCAGCGGTGCCTGGGGGAGGCACAGCCCCAGCTGAGGCTGGAACAGGAGGGGAAATTCGGGGAAATTCGGGGAAATTTGGGGAAATTCGGGGGCACAGGAAGGGCAGAGCTTCCAGCAAGGTCTGGGCACACATTTCCCACTGCAGGGACTCCCAAGACACAGGGCTTGGGCAGCTCTCCAGCAAGGAAAGGGTTACTCTGTGCCCGAGGCAGGGCTCAGAGGGGTGAGGGCACCCTGTGGGTGTCACCTCAGAGCATCCTGAACCCCACTGGGCTGCAGGAGACCCCTGGGAAGAGA